TGCAGTGTGTGATGATATGTCAATTAAATCTCAAGCGAGATTTAAAAGAATCAAATTATTTTAATTTGGGTATTCTTTGCTGCTAATGATTAGAATATTTTTCCTCTGTTATTGGAATTTAATTGAATCTGTTATTTAAATTTCCTTTTTTCTATAGAGTGACTTCTTAAGTCTTTTGTCCATTGTCTTTTTTTTAGTTCTCTCTTTTTTTTTCATTGAGTTTATTGGGCTGACACTGGATAACAAAACTACACAAGTTTCAGGTGCACGATTCCACAACACATCACCTGTACACAGTGTTATGTGTTCACCACCCAAGTCAAGTCTCTGTCCATCATCATTTATCCCCCTGTATGCTCCTCCACCTCCCCAGACCTTCCTTCCCCACAGCAATCACCACACTGTTGTCCATGTCCATGGGGTTTTTTCTCTTTTACATTCTTTTTTGCTCAAACCCTCCACCCACCCTCAGTCCTTTCCCACCCCTTGCTGACAGCTGTCACAATTTATTTTTCCTCTAGATCTATAAATGATGGAACCACCCTACTTCTCAGCAGCAGGGCAGTCCTTGTGACTGACACATGAGATGAGTTATTCTCAACTCCTTTTCTTACCAGTATGTCAGTCAAATTCAGAAGGATTAAAATCGTTTCCTGAGTATCAATGCCTCCCTCTACTGGGGTATGCTATTGTAGTACTGGATGTGACACAATTGAACCTGGAAGAACAAGAGAAAATTTCTGTTGGAAAGAGAGTTGTGGGATTACAACATTTTTGTTCTCCTTATCCTTATACCCCTACACCAAGAAATTCCCCAATGGTTTTCCTACTTTATATTTACCTAATGAAGCCAGCCAGTCCTTCCTGTTCCTATCATCACCAGTTTCCCTCAACAGATATTTTAATTGTCATGTTCTTAATCAAACTGTTACTAATATGAATAATATGGAATTTGTCCACTCCATATGATGTGTCTTTTAGCTCATTTTTGTGCATAGGCCACAGTGGAATGTAGACTTTGATTTGATAAAAATACAACACATGAGTCAGTTTATTCACATTGTGTTCTTCCAGATCTCTAACAGTGTCTTCAGCCTCCGCTACATCCAACAGATAAGCAGAGTCAAAGTCTAATATGTGTTTATCCTTGTCAGGACCCAATTGAAGCCACTTGGGATCTGCATTAAGGGTCCTTCATTGTCCAGCTGCCATCCTTGACTTCAGGGAATCTTATCCAAAGTCATGTTTTGGAAATTATTTTCCTAGTAGCATTCTGGAGAGTGTATTGCCACATTAGCAATTTCCATAAAGGAGTACATCATAGTTTCAGTAAAAATATTCCTATTTATTCCATGTACCCAAATAGATACACCCAAGAAATAGACCAGAGCATCAGACTTTGCACTCTAACCTCCTTATGAGCCAGAAGCCAGGTTTTATCTGGTGGTTGTTGACCTAGCCAATTTTAATTCTTCCACAGAATTCTCACACATTTCTATGATTTAATTCTCTTTACAGTGGTATTCTTAATTGTCCAATTATGTAGATCCCATCTGTAATAATTGCAAGGTCATTGACCACATCCTAAGTCTGTATACATAAACATTATGCCAGATGAGAATTCAAATTTTTCTGCATTACCAGATATACTCCCAAGGGGGGTAGGATTGAGGGTGGGAGGTGGGGATGGGTGGGACAGAGGGGAGGGGTGGGGGAGGAAATAGGGACAATTGTACTTGAACAACAATAAAAAATAAATTAAATATCTAGTTGAATAATTAATTTGAACTTGTGGGCTTAAGTTAAAATCTTACTAAAATTACATCATTTATTTAGAAGCTTAGAATGACTTTAGGTTTACTATAATCCTGAAGTCAAGGTACTACATCTGTAAGAGTCATTTGGTACTCAAGAAGTTTTAATAAAGCAATTAAACCAATAAAATAGGAAACTAAATACATTTAATTTCTGGATAGATTTTAAAATTTGAAAAAGTTTAATTTACTGATTTTTTAAATAGCACAAAATATGTTCAAAGGCCTTTAAAAATATTTTCAATGTACATTAAAGCTAAACAAGTATTTACTCTGTGACACAACAATTTGTCCTAGATATACATGCAGCAGAAATGTTTCTCTCTGGTCTCCAACAAGCCTGTACTTGAATGTTTGTAGTAGCACTATTTATAAGAGCAGCAAACTGGAAACTGCCCAAATGTTCATTAATGCTACTTTAGATGAGAGCAAATGATCTTTATCTATGTGCAAATGCATGAATCAAGCAAATACATCCTCACGAGGAAGTCAAACCTCAAAGAATAAATAGTGAATAATTTGTAGAAGGGATAAAAACAGTCAAGAGTTATCTATGTGATTATAGGTTAGAATAATGAATATTCTAGGTAATAACCAGACCATGGCCTGAAAGGGACTATCAGGGTGCTGAAGATGTTCTGTTTCCTACTTGAGCTCTAGCGTCACTGCTTTGGAAGAATGGGACACTATGTCCACTCCAGATTTAGTCAGTCCAGCAAACCAGCTTGTCTGGGCCACAGATGATTCAACTAAAAGACAAAATGCTACCGTTCTTAATCTCCATCTTTAACAGATGGGAGCCCTAAATAAAACCCCCCAGCCTCTATCATTACTGCTAAAAACAAGAACAAACAAAAAATAGGACATTGGAAAAGGGACTGTTAGAAATTTCGGCACTCCAAACATCTCCATTCCCCTATTCAATCTTTCCAATGCTACCAGTTGAGCGAATCAACTGCAGATTTATGAAAATCCTCCAAATACCTTGGTCATAGGTATTGCTGCTAGTCCTTCTAAATCTCAGACCCTTTGTAGCTCGTAAACTCTCACCCTTTGAAATAATTACTGAGGTCGCCATGCATCTAACTCTTGCCTATTTTAATCCACACCTAATAAAAATAGACATCCAGTGGAAATAACTATGCTTTAGTAAAGTAATCTTTTCATAGCATACTCCCAGGATTTGAAAACCTCAAACACCACACTTTACTACCTGGAGATTTTGTTTATGGTAAAAGACACCTCCAAAAAGACTTATTCCCAAGAACCAAAGAATAGATTCTTGGATTCATGTATCATACCTGAAGAAAGTTCCAAAACCCAAATAGGCTTGCACACTGTCCTATGATCTAAAACTAAAGATTTCCGAGACTTAAAGCGGAAAACATCTGAGGCAGAAAGCTCTCCCAGGATGACTGGATTAGGCCTGTATACCCTTTTTTTCCCCCATTGCTTAGCTCATTCTTAATGCCACTGCTAATTTCACCTAATTTTCCCTTGATGTTACTTATAATGTAAGGCTCCTGCACACAAAATCTCCCACACCCTGCCTTGATCAAACCCTAGCAGTAGTCTTATGGACACCACCTGGTTTGTCTGTGACAAATGGCACTCTCAGTGGACCTATGAATGCCTAGATACCTTGCAGATCAGAGGCCAATTCTCACAAGGAACATGGATTATTCATATTGGCATCCATGATAAATCTGAGGCCTCCCATTCATGCTGTCATTGGTCCTCCCCACTAAACCTTCACAGCCACCTTAAACGAGAACTCTCAAGAGGTATTCAGACTTGTCTCCATAGGGAGAGCACTTTTTTACCTTGTTAGTGTCCATGCCAGTGAATATTTGATCATAAACTTCTCTCTGACACTGGGGAAATCTTGCCAATTCTACCACCAAGGCAAGAGCTGCTGATTTCTTAATCAAAGTAGTTTTAGACAACAAAATAGCTCTCAATTATTTACTTAGGAGGCATATGTGTCATAGCAAAAACTACCTGTTGCACTGGGATAAATTTCTCTGGGAAAGTAGAAACTTAACTATATAAAATTAGATAACAAACTCACTAGTTGCAACAATCTTTACCTGATGGCCCCTGGTCTTTCAATTCATTTAGCTGGTTACCTTCAGGTTTGGGCTCCTGGTTTAGGACCATTTTACAAAGGGGGTTTTTATTTATTCCTCATTTTTTGTATATTTATTTTATAACTCTGTAGCTGTTGCCTATCAAACTCCTGAAGAAACAATGCACTGAATAGGATGATGTTGGCCCAACACTTTGAGATGATTTCAGATACTTATAAGACATAAACTCTGAGTGGAAAATGCTTCAAAGTTCCCTCTTGATCAAAAGGGATGGAATGTGAAACTACAGGAACCTTCATTCAACATGGATTAGGAAGCCATGAAGGAAGAGCTCTCAGGCATGTACCCCCTGTCATTTATGTAATCAGCACCTGAAGTTTACACGATCAAGAGGAAGAAGGATGGTCCCCTCACTGTTTGCCTCCATAATGACCAGCTGCCTCCTCTTTCTCCAGCAACCACAGTCGACCCACTGCCAGTCAGCAATAAGAGACCAGCACAATGTCTCCCCAATGTTTTCCTAAAACCAGTAAAAGCTAACTTCTCTTTTGTCTCCTCAGACTTGCCTATGGTTTGCCATAGTTTGCATATCCTCAATTATTCTCAAATAAACTCAGTTGCTCCTTGAATATTCTTAGCTCTTTAATTTTTACAGATAATAGCTTTTGAATCCCTGGGTCCAGCCATCTCTGAGGCCAGTTCAATTTATTCCCAGCCTTATCTGTGGTTTGATTACTTTTCTTTTTAAGTTTTATTCATGTAATTCAGGTTGGGTTTTGTTATGTGTAACTGAAATAGTTATAATTGACAAAGCAATCAAACTATAACTTCTTTCCATTTAAGTCTTACAGAACTCATTAATATTAATAGCCACATCCTGCAAGAGGGGTTAAGATATTAAACAAAAAAATGGCCATAGGTTGAAAAATAAAACATTAATTGGGGACCAAAAGAAAACAAAATCAAGTACTTTAGAAATAAAAAGAGAAGAAAAAATTAGGGTGACATGGGTAAAACTCAAAAAATGCTGACAAGTCATATTACAATAAACTTTTTCCAAAATTACACACACACACACACAAAGTAGAGCCAGGTATATAAGAAGAAACTTTAACTTTTCATAGGTATAGAACATATATCAAAAACATTATGATTTTTTTACAATCTTTAAATCATGCTGTCCCAAGTTATTTATACTTATTAAATTGTTTTATGCATCTTCATCCCAGCCATAAGTAAAATACACCCCTTTGGTTTCATCCACTTCTCTTTTTCCTGTGTTTTCTCACTTCTCAATTTTTACTCTCCTCTGATGAGATAAAAATGATTAATGTGAAGTGTTCTCATATTTAATTTTTCTTTTGTACACTTGTTAACTGCCTTTCTTCGATAGCTGAGAAAAGAAAAACAAAACATTCTTAAGTGATTATTTAAGGAAAAGCAAACAGCAGGAAGAAAGAACATTGGGCTCCTGGGGGGTCTAAGCCAATCCTGACTTTGGGAGTTCATGCACCATGAAGAGAGAAGAAGTGGAAGAACCAAGATAGCTCAGTCAGGATGAGTGAAGTTAGCAGTTTGAGTTTCCCGGTAGTTTTTAAGTAAAAGAACTAGAGAGGATGTGATATTTTAATCTGATTTTCCAGGAACTAAAATGAGATTTGAGTATAAACCGAAATTCCTGTCCGATCTTTGATTGGAGCAGCACAGTGTGTTTTGTACTCAGGTTGGTAACAGAGAATACACACAATGCTAAAATCTGAGGCACACATATGAAAGGCACATACCTAGCACCAGCCACACTGTATTGGGAGGGATTCAGAGAAGGAAGAGTTTTCAAAACAATCAAGTCAAAAAGGCAGAAGCATAAGGCCTCAAGGAAGTGCCAAGTAACCAAAGATCCCATCTTATCAGAAACAATGCTGATCCAATACAGTTCTGGATCCCAAGCCAAGAAGCACATTTTGATAGATGAGGACAAAGACACAGCATGGGATGTTCAAACAATGGGAATAATAGAAGTACATCATTTCAAAAATCTCATCTTAAAACAAGACAAAGGGAAGAGAAGTAGCGCAAATTCTTATAACCTTGGTGGGGATCAGGAAATGTGAGGGGGCAAAATCACACCCTGCCAACGGGTTAGTGGCCAGAATTACTCTCAGGATTGCAGCACTCAGAGACACAGAGATCTGTCACTTACTTAGTAGATCTGAACAGGAAGTAGCCACAAAACTGACATCAAGTGTCTATACAACCAAACACATCTACCTGTTTCCCCAAGAGGCAAATCCTCTAAGAAGTCATCTGCAGCCAGCAGCATCTGTCTCAGTGCAGAGAGGTTCAGGACATCCTTTATAGGATCCAGATCCCACTCTGAGGTGTAATTACTGACCACCAAGATGTCAGAAATAGCAAATCCAAGGTTTTTGTGGACTTTCTCTATCTGTGATACAGAAATGAAAACCCAGAAATATCAAAACAGTGAAAAATGCTATTTAATGTTAATATAAATTAAGAAAGTGATAACAAAGGTAGGCATTTGGCAATATTTTTCCTGTTCCAGAAAATGGATATAGAGATCTGGCCCCTAAGGGCCTTTTTAAAAAGAACTTCACAAGTCATGTCTCACAGCACTGCTATGTGTTTTCATTTAGAAACACATAACAAATTCAGTATGTATTAAAAGGGAAGGTAACTATAACAGTTCTATATAAACTACTTGGAAATTGAAGCATTTTTAATATCCTTACATTAAAGTCCATAATTTCCTTCCATTTCCTTTTAAAAGTTGTTCTTAGGATAAGTCAATTGTGCTACATTTAATGCTGATGTTCAATTCTTTTTTTAATTTTTCAGTTACAACTGACACTCAGTATTGGTTTATATTAGTTTCTGGTGCAGAGTGCTGGTGTTTGATTCTTGCTTGTGCCAGTTTATCTGTGCAACCAGAATGCCCAGGATAAATACAGGGCTCTGTCACTTCTTAGCACTGTCAATAAACATTGACACATGCTTTACTGTGTGTGCTTTTCTCATCTAATAACAGTTCTCAATTCATAAGGTTGTTGCAAGTATTGAATAAGAAAATTGATCACATATTCAGAGCTCAACAAATACCAGCTATCATTACATTCTCTCAACCTGTTCCCACCTCCATATACCTTTCACTCTAATTTATTCTGCACAGAGGTGCCAGATCAATTTTTGTGAAGCTGAATTTGGTCACATCACTACTCTTTCAAATGGTTGCTATGATTACCCATAATGCACCTGATTAAGTAAAATCACCTCATGCAAATCAAAAACAAAAAACTGAAGCGCTCCATGCATCCTGAAATGCTGCTTTTGCCTGCATTGGTGTATTCACTTATGCTGTCTCCATGGAGTGAGTTTTTCCCCTTTTGTGTCTCTTCACTTCCCGAAATACTCCTCAGCCTTAAAAGTTATTTCCCATGCCACTCTAGTATTGAAATCTTCCCTCATGCCCTTTAGCATGGTATTTTCCTCCTCTAGAACTTCAAAGCATTTTATTTTTAATCATTTAATGATATTTATTATACTTAATCATACCATATTCTTTTACCAACTTGTTCTCATCTAGTTCCCCTATGTCCTCATTTCCACTTATAAAGTTGTAAGAATTTTAGTACAGGGAAATTATTTTAATTACCTGTGTATCTGATTAGAGATTATCACACTGGCTCAATCATTAAAGGTAACCAACAAATATTTTTTAATTGAATTAAATTGTAGTAAATGGAATTATCTGTGTCAATGTAAAGATAAATAAATATTTCATATTTAAAACTTAGGAAATGAGTCTGAATTTTCCAAACAATTGTTTCAAATATTCTTAAACTCCATAGTATTATTTTTTATTTTTATATACAGCAATAGCATGTGATTATGCTGACATACCAGAAATGTGTTTACAAAAGACATCATTCATTACCTTGAGCTTCACAGGCATACATCTGTATATGTCTATAAGGTCTCCTCTCACAATCAGATCCATGCTATCCACACAAGTAAGCAAAACCAAATATACTACACCTGTGCCAAACAGATTTATATTGTTTTTATTAACATAGGCAGCATCAGTTTCTTTTTCAGATAATTGGTTATCAATTATGCAATAGACTATCTATGAAACAATTTCAGAAATTCAGGAAGGTCTTCCTCCAGCAAAAAAAAAAAAAAAAAAACCTAAACTACTCATCAGTAGCTGAAATTTTTCTGCTATGGGAAGTTCCCTTCATTGCCTCCCATGGTAAGAAATCAGGCTTCAAATGAAACCACCTTTTGGAACAGGTAACTAAAATTTACACTACAATATCACTGATTGATTTTCTCTTTTTTCCTTTTTATTGAATATATTAGGCTGACACTAGTTAACAAAATTGTAAAGATTTCTGGTGCACAATCCCATAGCCGATTAATTTTACATACTATTAACAGTTGTGTTTTTATGGCGACTAGAGAAAAGACCAAAGGGCTCCAATAACAAGATGAAGAAACCTGAAGGAAACAGAGTATGTCAAAATACTACAAATAAACTGTTCTTATGTCACAACATTAGTAGGAACCTCCCTGCACAACCCTTACAAGCTTTTAAATTTCAATGAGCAAGTTAGTCAATCACGCCCCACTTCTAAGTTTATCAAAGTTGTGGTAAACTGGTTCTTTCCCAAACAGAATAGTGTGGGGCATCTTAATTCCCTAATCCTATTTACCTTCTCCAAAACATTTCTGCTACCTGTCTTTACCAAACATTTTTCCTGCCCCTTTTCTAAAATGTTCCTGTCCTCTTTCTAATCTTTAAAGGCCCAAGGAGAAGCCTAGGACTGCTGGTAAACACAAGCATGCTAAGATGCAGTGGCAGCAGGTGGTGAGGATTGTGCTAAACTCTTCATATTTACTCACTTGTTTAATCCTTACAAAAAAATCCCTGAGGCACATGCCATTATTATTTGTACTTTATAGATTAATAAACTGAGGTATAGAAATTTTAAATTATTTGCCCAAATATATGCAGCTATTGAGTGCTTGATTTGAATGAAACATACTGATGGGGAAGGTAAGATTCAAATACACACTTTCTTAAGTTATTCATCCTGTTTAAAAAAATTCTACAATATAGTCTAATCAATTACCCTTAGAAGTAAAGTGGAATGAGACTCACCACACTTTATCATCTCCCTTCGAGCTCTTTTGATCTTTGCTACCATCTCAACAGAGAGGTGTTCAATAGAGTTGGCATCAAACACAAATGCTGCACAATGGATTCTGTCCTTCAGCATGGGGAAGTTGATGTAGTTACCACAACCTGGTGTGATTGGTTTCATGAAATTAAACTGAAATTAATTGAGCAAATATTTGTAAGCATATACTATGTACCAGGCAATGTGCAGTTGAATAAACCAGTAAACAAAACAAATAAGTCTCTAATATTATGATGCTAACAAGTAGCTAGCAGTCCTTTCACATAGGAAAATCTTCTGCAAAGAAGAGACTTGTAATATGAAGCTAAAAATAATATAGGTGAGTTAATCTAAATAAGGGAATAAGAATATGACAGAAGAGTGTTCTAGATAGAAGCAGCAATATGGGCAAAGGTGGAAGTGAGAGCATTCAGAAAGAAGTCTGGATTCCCTGGCTGGGGTGGCTCAGTGGATTGACTGCCGGTCTGCAAACCGAAATCTTGCCAGTTCAATTCCCAGTCAGGGTACATGACTGGGTTGTGGGCAAGGTTCCCAGATAAAAGCATGTGAGAAGCAACCAACTGACGTATCACTCATACATTGATGTTTCTCTCCCTTTCTTTCTCCCTCCCTTCCCCTCTCTCTCTAAAAAAAAATAAGTAAAATCTTTTTTTTTAAGATTTTATTTATTTTTTTTAGAGAGGGGAAGGGAGGGAGAGAGAGAGAGAGAAAGAGAAGCATCAATGTGCGGTTGCTGGGGGTCATGGCCTGCAACCCAGGCATGTACCCTGCAACCCAGGCATGTACTCTGACTGGGAATCAAACCTGCGACACTTTGGTTTGCAGCCTGCACTCAATCCACTGAGCTATGCCAGCCAGGGCATAAATAAAATCTTTTCTTAAAAAAGAAAGAAATGTGATATCATCAGGCAGAATGCAAGGGGGAAAATGGTACAAAATAAGATACATTTACTCTTAAACTAAAAATTCTTCTGCTGGAAACCTGTCCCACAGATGTGTGTACAAGGCTATTAACTTCAGGACTATTTGCGGCACCAAAATTCTGTTACATCAATAACACAAGGTATTCTATCACTTCTCTAAAAAAAGAAACACAAATTTTTATTTTCTAATATGTTAGAAAGGGAAATAAATCATAAATTTTTAGATATTTATAAGAAGAGGGGAAAAATGTATTTGAAGGGGCAGAGAAAGAAGATCAATTATTTGAATATACCCTATTTTGTATATTTGACTTTAGAACCATTTAAATTATAAATATAAATATAAAACAAAATTAAATTTAAAAAGGAATAGTTAAATGGAATTAAACATGTGAATTTTTATACCCAATGAGGGTCATATCTATACTAATAAAACTATTTCTGATTGGTTTTAAAACCCAGTAATTTATGTACTCCTACTACATGCTATGTCCTAAACACAATATAAAAAATCAGCCAAAAATTTTTAATTATTTCCAATTTTGATTGTGATGATTTTTTATTCTTTTGATGTTAAATATAATTATTATTAAATTGTTCATGATAGTATCGTGTAATTTTGTTCGAGATTACAGTGAATATTATGTGAGATAAAGCAAATGAGTCATGCCATGTTTTGTCATCTCTGGTGTCCTTGAGACTAGAGATTCTCTGTTTGGCTAAAGCAGATACAGATGCAAGATAACAGAGATGAAGCAAAAACTATCTAGTCCTATGTTTCAATGAAAAATTTCTGTGTGGCCCTGGCTGGCTGGCTCAGTTAGTTGGAGTGCTGTCTCCTACACCAAAAAAATTGTGGGTTCAATCCCTAGTCAGGGCATACACCTAGGCTGTGGGTTTCATCCCCAGTCAGGGTGTAGACAGGAGGAAATTGATCAATGTTTCCCTCACATCAATCTTTCTCTCTCACATCGATGTTTCTTTCTCTCTCTACCCCTCTCTCCCTCTCTCGCTTCCTCTCTCTCCCTTTCTCTCTCTCTCTAAAATCAATAAACATATACTCAGGTGAGGATAAAAAAGTTTACGCATGAATTTACAGTATATCTTATCATAAAAATATATATTTCTTAGCTGTGCACTAAAAATAATTAAGAAGCAACAATTAATCAAGTAGCAATGAACAGTTCTAATGACCCAAACCAATACTTCTTAGAGAAATGACTGATTCAAAATCTGGGCTGTAAATATACAAGATATGATTTGGATTCATGATCATACTAGAAATGAAGGAATATAGCAGATTTTTACATTAATAAGCTTCAGAATCCAAACTGTACCAGCTCCCACTGGTCAAAAATGTTACATTTGACATCAGTATGAAAAAAAACAACATGCGTTAACATACATCTAATATGTGCAATTCATGCATTCATAATGATAATAAAATAATCACTAGCTAATACTGACAGATGCAAATGAACCAACTTATTATTTCAGAAGCTTATAAATAACTTTAAAATAAAGCATATATTATACTTTTTCTATATTAAAGGCATCACTAAGTAATCAAATAGTAGATGAGAGGAAGTTTGTCTTTCATATGTGAAATGAAGATGGAATGACATAGAATATCACTATTTCACATCCTAATAAATAAAGGGATTAGGTATTGAACATTAATGAAACCAATTTTAGAAAAGCAAGAAAATCCAAAATTGTGTGGATTTCATGGAACAACACAACAGCATCTATGAAGTAGTCCTGCATCTGAATGTGTGTCTAGATTTATCTATCAATTATCAGGATACATAGAAAACTATTTTTTTAAAAGACTATATTAAGTAGTAAAACCAGCAAATTTCAGACTATGGGGAAGTCTACAGGATAATCAAACATTTCTTAAAAAAACAAATTGCAAGTAAAAAATATCTAAAGAGATAGAGAAAAAATGTGCAGTTAAAAGAAGCTGAATAAATTTTTAGAACCATTTTTTAAAAAATTGTTTAAACGATACATATTACTTATAAGGCAATTAGAAATTTGGACATTGGGTGATATTTAATAAATTAAGGAACAATTAAGAAATAATTTGTATGTGATAGGAGTATTATGCTTATGTTTAATAAAAGATATACATGTCCCTACATATATATAAATATATACCCACTTATGGATGAAATGTTATAATTTCTTAAATTTGCTTCCAAATAACATAGTAGAGAGAAAGTGGGTAGACATGGATGAAGTGAGCTTGGTTACAAGTCATTGTAATTGTTGAAACTGAGTAAATAAGAATTCACTAAATTGCTTTGTCCATGTTAGTATAAGTTTAAAGTTCTCTATAATAAAGATTTTTGTTAAAAAATACTTAAAAATAAACCTAACTACTTCTACAAGATAGCTCTATGCTACATATAAAATAAAATATTCTGTGTTTCTGGATAGAAACACTGGATATGTAAAGGTGCAAAAAAACTTCAATACAAAATTTTAACAAAATTTCAATCAAAGCACCAACAAATAAAACACAAACAATTAAATAAGCTACAAACAAGCTGACTTGGAAAGTATATGTATGAATATAGTCAAGAAAAACAAATGTTAGAAATACTGATTATTATTTGTCCAGTGAGCTATCAAGATAATATTGATTGTTATTATAATTAAAATAATAAAGCAATATGTTAATGAATATAATAAAGAAATTTATAAATATGTCAATAGGACAAACTAGAGTATATAAAACTAATACTTCTATTTGGTAGGGAAGAGATGCAAAAGGTGTTCAATGAAAACTGACTAATCATTTAGAACAAGGTAAATTAATGAATGACTCAAGATCTAAATACTTACAAAAAGGATTAGAGAGTTAAAAAAAAGACAGACTGGTTCTTCTCTTTAATCTCCCCTTGCCTGCAACATTAGCAGTACTCAGCATAAACATTTTGAGAGCAGGAGGATGAAAGTGACCTGTCTTAATCAGCCTTGGCTGTTATAAAAAATTATGACATTGCATGGGTTATACAACAAACACTTATTTTTCATAGTTCTGGAGATTAAGAAGTCCAAGATCAAGGTGCTGACAGATTTGGTGTCTAGTGAGAGCCCCCTTCCTAGTTTGTAGACAGCCACCTTCTTGCTGTGTTCTCATGAGGCAGAGAGAGATCATCTCTCTTGTGTCTTTTCTGACAAGGACACTCTTTTCATTCTTGAGGTCTTCACCTTCATGACCCAATCACCTCCCAAAGACCACCCCCCTCCAAATAACACTACACTGTGTAGTAGGGCTGCAGCATATGAATTTTGGAGTGACACAACATTCAATGGATAGCACACCATGCTGAGGATCTCAGAGCAGAGTGTCAGAAGGACCCTTGAAATTAATAACATCAGACAGCTGACACACAGGCCCAAAGCTGCCTGTCTCCAGACTTCCTGTTACATAAGAAAAATTACCTATGTGAGTTCATGTGTTAGATTTCTGTTTTGGCTTTTTTACAGCCAAAAGCAATTGAATGTGTAACAACATTCAGTTGTTATGACAGCTATGACAGGAGAGACCTTTGGATGTTTTAATTCTTTGTAAAATAAAATATCAAAAAGAAACAAAAGATCTTGAACAAGCATAGTTTAAGAAAGTAAATGCTGATACACTAAAGTCTTAGGTTCTCAACATTGGGCAAAAAACGCCATTTTAAATATCAATTATAATTCCCCAATCATTAGCCAAATTATACCTGGTATCTGTCAGGAATGTGGCCTTTTAAGATGTAGAATATGTCATCCACGCACAGCCCTTTTTTCTCACTCAGCCCCATTGAGTCACACAGAACAAATGGCAAGACATTACCATCCTTCCCATCCTTAATGGAATATGTCCTGTACTGCAGAGGAGGAAAAAAAACTGAGTTCATTTTTTTTTGCAAAATATATGAATTGAGATGAAGTTTACATGTAACGAAGTTTAAAAAAAAAACTTTTCAAATTTAACTTGAACAAAGAAGCAACTGCTGAGTGAGCTAGAATGGACTCACCTGCTCAGATTTCCCAGTTCTGTTAGAGTCCACCAAAGCTTGGTGGGTTACATGGCCTCGGAAAACAGACTTTATGGAGTTGAAAAAGCTAGACTTCCCAGCTCCAATTGGACCCAGGAGCAGAATTCGTATTTGGCAAACCAGGTCTCTATATGGTTTGTAAGTTCTTATGGCAGACAATAAGCTCTCTCTGAGCCTGTTTAGACAAGATAATTTTAACAGTTGACTGAGGTTACATCATAAGACTTCACCACAAATTTTCCTTGAATTCATTTTTTTCTTTTATATTATTTATTTTTTTATTATCAGCTTGCCTTCTTGAACATGAAGACATGAAACTATCCTACATCAAATCATATTGTAAAAAAGAAAAGCAAACATTACAGTTTAACTAAGGCCAATCAGACATAAAATCTTTCAGATTTAAGCAACCAGACTATATAGGCCTAGAAATAAATGTCAGCTGTGTTAAACATAAAGATAAGTTATCAAAAATAAAATTCAAAAACCACAATCTATATGTGACTTTTGAAGTTTACAGGAGACCATTCCCAACATGTTGAAGTTCATGATAGGTATTCCCACCTGCCAGACACTCCTTCCTCAGCAAGTATCTAAAATTGTCAAAACTGTAAATGCAAGAATTCTTAGCAAAAATGTAGACATGCGGGAGGTCTGCCCAGAAGGTATCTAGTCAGCTATGTAATATGAAAAACAAGAGACATTTATTGAAAAAGATACAAGAAACATTGTGCATAGGATAATGATGCCTCAGTCCCCTTCATAGTAGGCACCTGGGACCCTCACACAGTTCTCCAAATTGCCATCAGCTGCCCTGTCATATTTTCCTGAATCTCATTAACAGTCTGAAATTCCTTCCCTTTCAAAGGTGATATTAGTTCTGGGGAAAGCCAGAAGCCATGGAATGTCAAATCTGGGCTGCAGGGGGTCTGAGTCATCTGAGTGATTTAATGTTTCACCAAAAAACTCTCATGTATCTGTGATGCATGAGCAGGTGTGCTGCCTGGTGAAACTGCCAATCACCAGTTGCCCATAATTGTGGCCTTCTAAATCTTTCAAATAATTTCCATGGAGGAATATTCAAGCTTAATGCAAAATCTGACACAGATTCATTGCTCTACTAGCTCAGCCATTTTTAATGTGATGACCATACAATACACATGCTCACTCAAGGGCATCTACCACCCCCACTGACTAGTACAGTGAAGTAGTCATTGTTCACACATGCACATTCCAGTCCACTCTCCTTGGCTGCCACGTTAAATTGATGTCTCACAAACCATTCTTGTTATATTAACAATGGCTAGACTTTTTCTGGACAAACTTCATACAGCCAAATATTTATTTTCCTTCAAGTGTATAAAAACATTAGAAATTTCTTCACTCTGGTCAGTGTTCTTTCTGTTTTAACATTATTATTGTCAAATAGTTTAGAGAATACAGATGTAGTTGTATTTTTTTCTTCGTGATCCACAAGTTATCTATCATAATCCGTGCTACAAATGTTATTAACAGAATCTGTACAGAATAAGTCTAAGATAATGAACAGAATAATAGAACATTAAAAACATTGACTTACTCGCTGAGCCCTTTCATCTTCCTTGTGTCCAATAAATCTGAGAAAATAATCAAAGAATAATAAAGATTATAAGTTGTTGAATGATTGTCTGGCTGAATGAATGTCATTGAATTCACTAGGAAAAAAATACCAAAATAGCCTTTCTATAAGAACAGTGCCAATAGTGAAAAGCACAAGAGATTATGGCAAATACCCTTAACATCACCTAATTTGAAGAGACTAGAATAGAAGCAAGGTGAGCTGTGAAAAGCTGTGATGTCAGCAGATCTTTTCTCACATAATTACTCAGCAGTAGTGTGTGGCTCACTCCAACAAGAGAGATGAGAGCTTTTCTGAATCAGAGAAGCAAGACCTAGTGGCACAGACAGGTGAGGGAAAACTGAGAATGCTCTCTTTTATCCTCTACAGTCCAATGTCTGAAAGGGATAATATGCAGGAACACACAATGGGAGGGGGGAACAGAAACAAGCACCAAAGGTTTCCCAAAAGTTATAGTCAATTATTTTATTGGGGGTTCTGGAATCCATAATCCAATTGGTTTTATTCCTGGCTTCAGAAGATTATGTAGGACCTTGCCTATCCCATCAGAGAACAGTGAGTGGTTCAGAGTTAGGCTGAGGACTTCATTTGGACCAATGAGACTCAGGCCCAAAATTCTTTTGTTGCTTAGGAAGGGAGATTATTTTATGGTGCATTTAAAGTTGAAAGAATTAGGTGTAATGATGATGGCAATTCTCTAAAAAAGAAGCATATTGTGTGTAACATTCACAAATACAACTATATGTATGGTTACAAAGAAAACCTCTTAGCCCTGGCTGGCCTAGCTCAGTGGATTGAGCACGAGCTGCGAACCAAAGTGTTACAGGTTCAATTCCCAGTCAGGGTACATGCCTGGGTTGCAGGCCATGACCCCCAGCAACCGCACATTGATGTTTTTCTCTCTCTATCTCCCTCCCTTCCCTCTCTAGAAAGTAAATAAATAAAATCTTTAAAAAAAAAGAAAACCTCTTTAAATTACCAGAAGTAGAAATAGTGAAGACTGCATTCAATGACCAGAATATAATAAAACTGGAAAAGAATGGATGTAGACAAAACAAACATAAAAGAAATCTTTTGGAAATTTTACATATGCAATGAAAAATGAAATTATATGTAAAAATTATATGCAATTATATCTAAAAATATAAACCCTTTTATATCAACTTTATGGTAAAAGCATATTACATTAATAACAAGAAAGAAGGAAAATCTTGAAAATAGAAAGAGAAAATAGGGAGGGATGGGTGGGTGGACTGGGATGGGAATAAAAGACAGAAAACTGTACTTAAACAACAATTAACATAAAATTTAAAAAAGAAAGAGAAAATAATAAACTAATCTTAAAATATAAAAAGAAGGAATTAACAAAAAACAAATACCAGTTTTATAAATTAAAAAGGATGTATTAATACAGAGATTGATTAGTTTAAAATGTAAATACATAAAGTGCTAACTAGTTCAATCAAAGAAAGACAAATTCACAAAATGTCATACTACCACTCACATATCAGATTGGCTCCCTATTGTAAAACCAATAATACATTGTATTGGAGAAGATTTAGAGTTACAAAAACCAATTTCTCCTATCACAAGCAGTGCATATGATAGGGGAAATTGGTACAACTACATTGGAAAACTTAGTCATTATCTACTGAAGCTGAACATTCACAAGCCCTTTGATCCAGCAATTTATGTTTATATTCTTTGAAAAATATGTGTATATGTAAACCAAAGGACATGTACAAGAAGTTTATAGAAATATTATTTGTAATAGCCCCAAACTGAAAAATCCAAAGGTCTATCAAGAGTGATTTTATTTTTAAAAAAATCATGATGGAATCATTATAATAGAATACTATATGAAAATGAAAAAGAACAAAGTACTACTACATACAATAATATGGCTGAATCACTAGAGAGGTAGGGACTAACCTGTAACACATTCACTCACTTTACTAAGTAACACTCTGGGGGAATGAAAGAAAAGTGACCCAGTCTAATATCTTTACAGATTAATAAATCTGGCCTTAGGTTTTCCACAGCAACATCAATGCTGTGGAAAAATTACAATATTTCTAAAATAAAATGTGACCCTAGAATGATGCAATCTAATAAAAACATTCAAGTAAAAAGACCACAGATATTTGCTTTGGAACATACAAATACTCGGGGAATATTATTCCCATACTCAGGGAATATTATTCCCAGCAGCCCTTCACTTAAATGAATAGGTATAAACAAATATTTAATAGAAAAAATAAAAATTGCCAATACACTTAGAATTGTTAGTGATCAGATGTAAGAGAGAAAGAGGGAGGGAGGGAAGGAGAAATACTGCCTTTTCACCACCATATTGGAAAATTTTCTGGAATTTTATAATATCAAAGATTAGCAAAGATACAGGGAAATATGCATGTACAAAGATTAGCAAGGATACAGGGAAATATAACATTCTTGGGGATAATATAGACAACTGAAGTTTTTGAAAGGTGTCTATCAAAATGTAAAGGTACACAACTCTGAAACAGCAATTCCAATTCCAGGAAGTTGCCCTAAAGAAGTATTTTTGTCCATAGTTATATGCATAAATATATTATAGGAACATTGATTACAACAGCAAATATTGAAAAGAATTTAAATGTCCTTAAATAGAAAAACAAATATATGACTTTTGTCTTTTGATATAATAGTAAACTGCATCAGAAAGGATCCAGTAGCAATCAAGAGAAGTTCAACCTCTGGTTTCTTTTCAACAGAATCTCACAATCTTTACATTTGCTTCTCACTCTTTTTCTGCCTTTCCTCCTCCTCCTCAACTCCTCTCCCACACAAATACACTCCAAAAAACTTTGTATATGCTACTTTTGACCAGGGTTGTGTCTTAGCTAACAATTTGTCGCCAGGCTTCAGTCTGAGTCACCTGGAAATTAGAACTAATGAAAATGTCATTTTCATTAAAGAGAGGGGTCAACTCGAACCCTCCAAACATGCAGGAGAGAACTTTATATGGGATTATCTAGATACACCTACCTTCACATCGAAACACTTCACATTCTTGAAAGGAAACTATCTCACATTGAGGTAGTGTTAATTTTTCAATTGTATTTAAACTCATGGTCACCTTTCTTTCTTTTAGATCTATCTGGAAATCCAAATTTTTACAGTTATAAAGGTTAGACCGGGAATTAAAAACTTTCAATGGTGAAACTGGTTCTATTTTACATTTTAAAATTTTAGTCCCTTCAAGGTTAAAAAGGATGGTGAACTTATTTTGTTCATCATAACCCTGTGACATATATGCCACAATAACACGATCATCACTATAAATCACTGTTATAGTAGGTCCTTGATTGCAACATCTGCGAAGCAAATCCTCAGAGCTGGATTCATGGACACTAGCCTTAAAGAGAAGGCTAAACTGCTTTCCTCCCAAGCAATTTTGCAACTTCTTTTCTTGCATCCACGTCAAACGAGTTGTCACTGCCATATTTCTCAACCTAGTGGAAAATGAAATATATTTTCTATAAATACTGAAAAACAGATAATATGTATAACCACACAAATCTTGTATTTATGCCTCTTATTTAGTCTACATTCCACATGAAATGTGTAAACAGAAGGTGAACAGATAGCAAGAAAAACATTCTAAATTATTGTTTTTTAAAGATTTTTTAAGACTATTGTTTACAAGCAGCTACATAAAGTGGAAAGGAGCAGGTCTCTTACCTGTTGTAGGACCTGTGCAAGGGCTGAAGCTGAGAGCAGCTGCTCTGGCTGGATGGCGAGGCCAGGAGGAGGTGAGAGCCAGGCTCCAGACTCAGGGAAAAGGAAACTGAAAGTCAGGGCAGCCCAGCCCAGTCGGCAGTGTGCCAGCTTCCCTCTAAGAGTTAACATAAAAGAATCCTGCTCATTTTAGATAATCAGTTCATATAAAAACAGTATTGGGTGATTTAAAGAATCAAAGTCAAATGGAAAAAAACTAAAATCTCACCATATTTTTAAGTGAATTTTTAAAGACTTTTAAGAAATTCCAATCAATTTTTTGTGTATAGACCTACAAAAAGGTACTGTCTTCTATCTCTAGAACAGGTCTCAAATTACCCACTTCTCTTGATCTCTGCTATTAATTTATTCTAAACCAACATATTTCCTATGTAAATTGTGTAATAGCCTCCTCATGGGTTCCTTTGTTTTAATCTTTACACCGTCTCCATTCAGTCCATTCTCCTTAGAAAGCCAGAATCAACTTTGTAAAATGTAAATTAAATCATGTCGATCTCTAACTAAAACCCCATTCTCTAACTTCACATTGTTGAGGGTTGAAACTTGTGTCCTAAAGGCTAAATAAAACCTGCAGATTTGTTTTGTAGGAGCAACACAATTTCTTTCCTTTTCTTTTTTTAATTTTAAATTTGAATGTTTTATATCATGGGCATCCACCCTTCAGTTACCATGTCTTCATAAATCCCCCATTCCTGGTTCTGACAAATTTATATTCCCTGCCTAGCCCAGAAAACATTTAAGTTTTTAGTCTATTAAAAAATCAACAGCAACTCTAAAAGATGGTGGCCAAGTAGGTGGGAGCCAAGTCTACTTGCTCTTGAGCCCAACTCAGACTCTTAGCTGATCTCTGAAAAACAAAGTGAAGAGTCAATGGAATCTTAGCTTATATGACATTTGGAAGCCAAAGAGCACAGAGGATTCTTCAAAATGAGCAGTAAGGAGATTTTATAGGTGGACAGAGAAAATTCCCAGGTATGGTGCGGGCAGCCTGGCTGCTGCAGTGCCTATAGCCACCAGACCAGCATCCACGGAAAGCCTGGTCAGAGATAGCAGCCTAGCAGGTCCCTCCCCTCCTGGAGCAGGGAATTCCCAGACCCAGCCTGGAGTGACTTGGACAGGCAAAGTCATCCATCAGGAAGAACCAGGCTATACACACACACAGCACACCCTGGCTGCTGGGGCTTCAGGAGAGTACCAGAGAGGAGAGGCACTGTCTGTACCAGGAACTGCAGGCAGGTAAGGAAGGGCCATGGCTGGCCATGATGGAGATAGACTCTTGACTTTTTGGAAAGGTGGAGCATGTGAAAAGTCAACAGTAGCTCTGTGCTGCAGTGGGAGAGCCTAGAAAGACTTTTTTAAAAAGGGGAGCTGTGCACCTGCGCATGCAGTTGCCTTCCCTGCCAACAAGAAGGAAGGTTTGTGGGCACGATTTCCTCCCACTCATTACAACTAGACATAGTGATCAAAGGGGTGCAGAGTGAGGTGGTTTCTTGGCCCCCACCCAGCCGCAGCGCAGAGTGGGATGTACAGACCACAGTGTGCTGTAAGGGCGGTGGGCTGGGAACTGTGCACCTGAGATTATTTGAGGCCAGACTGGGCCCCCTTCTATGGCAGAACCTCCAGGAAGAGAAGTGTGAGCCCAGCCCCCACCTCCTGCTAGAGAGGGGGAAGATCTGCAAAACTAGCTGGACAGGCTTAACAACACTGCAGGGGGCATTTCCACAAGAGTAACAAACAAGACAACAATGCCTAAAAGGGCCCATTTGAACTCCTCACACGGAGGCAAAGTGCACTGGGTCTTAGGGCTCTATTACACTGAGGCCAACAAAGCAGGGCATGCAGAAAGTGTGCAGCAAGGAGGATTCAGGGCACTGTCCAGCCTAGGCATGCACACAGAGCTGCTGTCTATACCAAGGAGGAGAGAGCTGGCACTCTTAAACAGGTTGTCCACTCCCCACTGAAACAGACAGCTATTTAATCAGACACTAGACATTACCAGAAATAAACTGGGAAAGACTAAGGTGGGAGGTTTAGGGGCAGAGGAAACACACACATCATATTCCCAGGATACTAAACACCACCTCCCAGGAGAAGCACAGAGGTCCTACCCTCTTGGGCACAACAGAAGCTCCCTCTAGAGTCAGGTGAAGGACATACAGGTGGTATTTCCAGAAGTTGGACAACCCACCCTTTGACCTTGAGCTGTTAAAAAACCAAAGATGGATCCAGAAAGAAGTCAACAGGCAAACACCCAACTGTTGAGATGAATTTCACCTCCCTCTTCCTCAGAATTTGCATGTTTTCTCTTTCTTTCATCTTTTTTTCCTTTCACATGGTCTTTAAATATTTCTTCTTATACTTCATATTCCAACTAACCCAATACTCTTGGTTTTTAAATTTTTTATTCTTTTTATTCAGATTATATATTTTTTCATATTATTGTTATTCCATATCCCCCAAAGCACCATTCCCTGGTCTTACTCCATTTTGCCTTCTTCCCGACCTTTCTTACAGTTGCTGTCAACTTATTTTCTCCCACACTACGCCATGTTCCTATTCCTTACTCTTACTATTTCTCTATTTATCCTTGCAAAAAAGCATTCTTCCTTCCTTAAGTCAGCTCACATTCTTTTTACCCTCTTATAAAAGTTTCATTTCTTTTCCACCTTTGTGAAGTGTGGCTAGTTGGGCAAGGATATCACAGTTACTGCTGTTCTTCTCCAATGGAATTCCTATTTGTTCACTTCTTGTTTGTACTTTAAATCCCATAGGGTACTCTCCCCATTTTTTATTCCATTTTGCCTTCCCCCTTCCCTTGATTGGATGAGTTAGGAATTTATTTTAATTATTTTTCCCTTTCTTAGCCTGAGTTGTATTCTGTACACTTATTAGTTTTCCTACCCCACCCTATGAAAATAATTTTTCTTTACTGCAGACATCTCATATTCATTTGACTCTTTGGTGTAATATTCTTATTCCCTTTCCACCTTTATTAATCTTTGCTCAGCTGTCATTGTTATTGATCCTGCTATGGTTTTTGGCAATTTTGTTCCCCTTGGTTCAATACCTTTTTAATGTTACTTCAACCTCATAGTATACTCCTCCCTCCTTTTACTCCATTTTTGCCACCACCTTTCCCTGTTTTACTTAAGTCTTAAATTTTATTCTCTCCCTTTTTTGCCTCATTTTTATTTTCTACTTTTATTATTTCTCCTCCCTCTTCCCACTCAGAATCATTTTTCCCTCTTTACTCATTTGATATTCCCTCTTTCCTATCTTATAATATCGTTAATCTCTCTCCACCTTTATTAATCTTTGCTCAATTGCTGTTTATATTGATGATGTGGTAGGTTTTTTTGTTTTGTTTTGTTTTTTGCTGGCATGGGTTTGTTTTTCTGGTAATATTGCTTTGTTAGCCAACACCTGTACAACAGCATACAGGATGCAGCAGGAGTGACTACCAGTCAACCAGCTGGAGGGGAGAACCCACCAAAAAAGGAACCACCAACAAGCAAAGCCCAAATACAACAAAAGAACCCACACAAAGTGAATAAAGGGAAAAGCTAGAGTATCCAGATTAGGAAGTCAAAGAGATTGCACCACTGAGTCCCACAGAACTCCTACCACAAATGTCCACCTCACAAAGATAGGCAGGCAAAGCAGAGCATCCTGAGATGCAGAAATAAACAAAAAGAGTCACCTAAAATGGAGAGACAAAGAAAGAACCCCAATCAAAATGAATGGAAGAAAACAGAGTTAAATGAAATTGAGGCAAGCAATCTGTCAGACATAGAATTTTAAAATTCTATGGGATCCTCAAGAACTCAGGGACAAGGAACTAAATAGGACCTACAGCAACATAAAAGAAGAAATAGAAACTATAAACAAGAACCAGGAAGAAATGAAAAATACAATACCTGAAATTAAAAATACACTAGAAGGAATTAAATGCAAGCTGGATGAAACAGAGGACTGAATCATGACTTGGAGGAAAAAGTAGAAAGAAATATCCAAGCAGAGAAACAAAATGAAAAAAGACTCAAAAAGTGGAAGGACAGTTTAAGGGAACTTAGGACAACATGAAACATAACAGCATTCACAACATAGGACTATTAGAAGAAGAAAAGGAGCAAGGCAAAGAAAACCTGTTTGAAAAAATAATGAGAGAAAACTTCTCTAACTTGATCAGGGAAAAGCCACACAAGTTCAGGAAGCACAGAGGGTCCCAATCAAGAAGAACCCAAAGAAGCATACTCCAAGACACATCATAATTAAAATGCCAAATTTTAAGGACAGAGAGAGAATCCTAAAGGCAGCAAGGGAGAAACAGATAGTAACATATAAGGGAGCTCTGAAAAGCTAGCAGCCAATTTCTCAATAGAAACACTATAAGCTAGAAGGGAATGGCAAAAAAATATTGAAGGTAATGAAAATCAAAGGCCTGCAGCCAAGACTACTCTACCTAGCAAGGCTCTCAATTAAAATGAAAGGGGAAATAAGGAGTTTCCCAGACAAAAGAAGGCTAAAAGAATGCACCTCCACCAAACCAGCATTGCAAGACATGCTAAAGGAACTACTTTAAGAAGAAGAAGGAAATAAGTGAGAGAGAGGAACACAGCTACAAAATGAAAAATGGCAATGAATAAGTGCCTATCAATAATAAACTTAAATGTAAATGGGTTAAATGCTCCAATAAAAAGACATAGGGTAGCTGGATGGTTAAGAAAACATGACCCTGCATATATGTTGTCTAAAAAAGACCCACCTCAAAACAAAAGACCTACACAGACTGCAAGTGAAGGATTGAAAAAAAAATATTCCAAGCAAATGGACAAGAAAAAAAAGCTGGGGTAGAAATACTTGTATCAAACAAAATAGATTTCAAAACAAAAGCCATAAAAAGAGACAGATCTCCTAACACCATTTATTGAAGAGGCTATTTTTACTCCATTTCTATGTTCCTGCCCCATTTGTCAAATATCAACTGACCAAATTTACATGGGTCTATTTTGGGGCTCTCCATTCTGTTTCATGGATCTATGTGTCTG